TAGTCATATAATTATTCCACATCCAATTAGTCATGGCCATATGGCAAACAGCGCTGCTGTCGTGAAGAGAGGCCGAGGGTTCGACTCTGCCAGAAGGGCAATCAGTCACTCTAAGACTTGTTCACCGGGACTGGCAGTGATATATGCCAAGGAATAAAACCATGAACAGCTTCAGAAGGCAAGTCATCGACACCATTCGGCAGCGAATAAATTTCACTATCAAATGCTGTTACTCGGCTCGAGCTATTTAAGAGTTCCTTCAACTGTGAGATGCAAAGTTTTTGACTTCTTGCCCACCATATGAAAAAGAACAAGATCTGAAAAGCAATCAATTTGCTTTTTAAAATAAGTTGACCTGAATTTCCGGACTGACTAGTCCAACTTCAGCAATACTTTGTAGATCGGCTTCGGCAGCACGCGGTGGGTCATGGAAGCCACGCCGACGCATCTTTCTATTCATGAAAGGTAGAGGTGGTGGCGGAGGCGCTTGCAATAACTCATTAAGCGACACGTCATTTGTTCTGTCACCGTTCGTGCCATCAGCTTCTGTATCGGCAGCGGGAGCAGCAGAAGCAGCACTACTGCACTGCTCCTCATCAAACTCTGAAAATGAATTTTCTTTTACTATCGTGCTCAGCCCTCATTCCTTTTGAGACATCTGTGTAAATAAATGGCCAGCGCACCGACTGCCGATGCAAAGACATGTTTTTTTGCAGAATTCCCCACAGGTCTTTGTCACTAACCTCATTGTTTTCTGGCAGATCTTCTAGCTAGAAGAATTGGGACTGGCCACCAGGATTGTCTGAAAACATCCCCTTAAAATTTCAGCTTTATAGCTTTTCAGGACCTCGAGTTAGCAACTTACCTGCAAAAAACTTTTACGGGCCAGTACATGGGAACCACACATACCCGAGGGCCGGGTTTGAATTAACCTATGTGAGGGGGAACATCCCCTTAAAACTGCAGCCTTCTATTTTTCTAGGTTTCCGAGTTAGCAACGTACTCGTAAAAAACTTTCACAGGTAAGTACGTCAGAACC